CTGATCCTGGAGACCCGGGATCGAGTCCCACGACAGGCTCCTTGCATGGAGCCTGCTTCTCCCTCTGCCTGTCTCTGCCTCTCTCTCTCTCTCCCTGTGTCTCTAATGAATAAATGAAATCTTAAAAAAATATATTCTCAAAAGTGTGAAATCTTGCCACTCTTCTGATTAGATTTTTATTTTGGAAAACACATCATTTTTCATTTAAAATGTTGCTTATGTTAAAAAGCAAGGAGTTTCCAAATGTCCATCAACAGATGAAAGGATTGGGGTGCCGGGTGGCTCAGTCAGTTAAGCATCCGATTCTTGATTTTGGCCAGGGTCATGATCTCAGGGTTGCTGGATGGAGCCCTGCATCGGCTCCATGCTGGGCATGGAGTCTTCTTAGATTCTTTCTCTCCCTCTACCTCTGCCTCTTCCCCCTACCTTGCTCGAGCTTGGTCTCAAAACAAACAAAAAATATGAATGGATAAACCAAATGTGATATATATATTCAATGGAATATTACTTGGCCTTAAAAAGGGAGGAAGTTGGGATCCCTGGGTGGTGCAGCGGTTTGGCGCCTGTCTTTGGCCCGGGGTGCGATCCTGGACACCTGGGATCGAATCCCACATCGGGCTCCCGGTGCATGGAGCCTGCTTCTCCCTCTGCCTGTGTCTCTGCCTCTCTCTCTCTCTCTCTCTCTCTCTCTCTCTCTGTGACTATCATAAGTAAATTTAAAAAATTTTTTTTAAAAAAAGGGGAGGAAGTTCTGATACCTGATACTGCATGGATGAAACTTGAAACATGCTAAGTGGAACGAGACAGACACAAAAGGACAAATATTGGATGATTCCACTTATAAGGCACAGAGAACCAACAAGAGGCAGAAAGTAGACTAGAGGGGATCCCTGGGTGGCTCAGCGGTTTAGCACCTGCCTTCAGCCCAGAGTGTGATCCTGGAGACCCGGGATTGAGTCCCATGTCAGGCTCCCTGCATGGGGCCTACTTCTCCCTCTGCCTGTGTCTCTGCCCCTCTCTCTCTCTCTCTCTCTCTGTGTATCTATCATGAATAAATAAATAAAATCTTAAAAAAAAAGTAGACTAGAGGTTACTTGGGGTTGGGGAGGCAGGAGAATGGGGAATATTGTTTTGTTTGATGGGTGCCAAGTTTCAGTTTGGAAAGATGAAAACATCCTGGAAAGGAATGGTAGTGATTCTTTTTTTGTTGTTTTTAAAGATTTTATTTATTTATTAATGAGAGACACAGAGAGAGGCAGAGACACAGGCAGAGGGAGAACCAGGCTCCCTGTGGGGAGTCCGACATAGGACTCGATCCCAGAACCCCTGGATCACGACCTGAGCCAAAGGCAGATGCTCAAACACTGAGCCACCCAGGTGCCCCGGTCCTCAATAATTTTTAAGGATGTAAAAAAAATCCTGAGAGTAACAAGTTTGAGAACCTCTGCTCCATGATCAGCTGAGCTGAGCCTGAGCTAACTGTTCCTGACTCATCTCTGCAAGAATTGAAAAACTGATTAAAGGGCAAAATATGTAGTTTTACATTTCTTCTGGTCAAAGCAGACAGGTGACCTCTCGTGGAAATACGGAGTATTGCTTGGCGGCAAAAATTCTCAGTAATTTTGCAGAGGATAGATGGTCACACACGACTCAATCAAACACTCACATAAACTCACACAGACCCACATATGCACACGCACTCACACACACACACAGCAATATGTAACACATACAAAGAGACACAGCCTTACATTTGGACTAGTCACACCCACATATGCACACGATGCTAAAAATAGCACGATTAACAAAGGGGACTTAGTAAATGACCACAGTTCTCTCTCTCTCTCTCTCTCTCTCTCTCTTTTTTTTTTTTTTGTAATGGAAAATGAGTTTCTTCCCAAAGCCATTAAATAAATGTTGAACAAGTAATTAAGATGAATCTAGGTTTGGCAGCATGCCCAATTACAGACCCACAATCCCTTAGCAGAGTTCCTTGGGGACAGATGCATTTCAGAACGCAGAATTGTTCCAATTTTAGAAAGGTAATTCTGAACGAATGCTGTATTTTGCGTAACACTCCCAGGGGTCTGAGGCAGCCCCCTCCCCATCAGACGTGTTAATATTTTTGCAGAAAATCACGTGTGAAAATTCACACCAGGAGATAAAAGAGTGTGAATAACTCACATTAGTTGCCCTGCCACCATGTGACACTGAGCCAAAAGTGGACACTGGACACTACCCCCCCCAAAGAGATATTTTTTGGTTGTTACTACTTTTTCGAACTCGGAATTGTGGGTAAGGGACAAGAGATATTATTATCAGACCCCTTGCACGTGCATGTTCGCACATTCCTGCTCCGATTGTAAACCTTGGATTCCAGGCCTGGGAAAGGTGCGGGGAGGACGGCGACTCTTCGGCGCCCCCTCCTGGTAGTCCCACCCCTTGCAGCTCGGCTGCAGACTTGGGAGGTCCACCAGCTTGGGCCTCATCCAGTGATGGGTCCTGATTGGTCTAAACTTTCGGAGTAATCCCGCCTTCATTTGCCAGGGAGTGGATGAACCCACGCCTTGACCAACCGCACCTGACGGCCCTTGGCACAGGCATTGGGTCCAGGTTTGTCAAGTGACCGGCGCTGATCCAGTCAAATCAAAGGAAAGCCCTTCGGCGCGCCAAGAGGGGCGAGGCCTCCATCTCTCCAGGGATGGGAATGAGTTCAGCGGTCCCTGGGTCTGTGGGCACTCCGCGAAGCCGCTTGAGGATGAGGTTGACTCTATGCACAGAAAGAACTAGAAACAGTTTATGGTGCTGTTCAGCTCTCCTTTTAAGGGATCCTGCTGCTGGGGGGCCCAGCTCTCCAACAGCGCCACCGGAGTGGTGCCAGGGCCATGCTTCCCCGGCTCCTCCCAATCACACACACACACACACACACACACATTTTGATCACCCACTTTCCCCCCAGGCCACCAACTTGATCTAGCCACCGCTGTCCACCATTGTCCCTCACCTGAACTACGGCAGCGGCCTCCCCCACTCCCGGCTCTCGGCTTCCACCCTTGCCCCCCAGAGCTCATTCCCACCCGGCAATGAGAGAGTCCTGTTAACACCTAAGTTGGCTCTCCCCCTCCCCAGCTCACAAACCTCTCATGGCTTCACCTCACTCAAAGTAAAAGCCAAAGTCCTCACGGTGGCCCCTGAGGCCCTGCACAATCTGCCCCCTTTCTATCTCTGGGCTCAGCTTCTCCTGCTCTCTCCATCACTCACTCTGCTCACTCCCTGGCCTCTCGGTGCTTCCTTGAAGGAGCCGAGCACCTGAGCCTCGAGGCCACCACGCTTGCTGTTCCCACTTCCTGGAACACACTTCCCTCAGAGATCTGCATGCCTTGCCCTCGCTTCTACCCAGTGACCAACAACTCCATCGTTCCCTGTCACCTTTACCCTGATTATTTTCCTCCTTGGTGCTTCTTATGACCAGACATAACATATATCTAAGTTACTAGTCATATTTTTTTGTCTGTCTCTCCAGGGATAGGTCCGCTCCCTTGAGAGCAGAGAGTCTTGCCTGTTTCAGAGCTGTGACCCTGGTGCCTAAAATAAGGCCTGGCACATAGTAAAGGCTCAAAAAATGCTTTTACTAAGTGCAAAATTAACAGACCCGCAGCCAAAAGAAAGACACAGAGAAACCAAGGGATGGGGAGAAAAAAAGCTGGGGAGAAGAGGGCCGGAAGCTAGAGAGAGAGACCAGTGGGGACAGAGATGCAGCAGTCTCCACCCCCAACTCACCACTTGCTGGTGTCCAGAGCTCTAGGCTGACTCCATATCCCTTGGGATCCAAGCTATGGTTTTTTAATCCCTGAGGGACAGAGGTGGGTGGAGAGAAAGAACATGTGATGCTGTTCTGTTCAAGAGGCTGCAGATCACTAGTTTATTTAATCCTCACAAACTCTGTAAGAGTAGTAACTGACATCTTCATCTTACAGGACCAGGAAGGTTGAGTAACCTGCCCAAGGTCACACAGCTAGCGAGAGGAAGAGTGGGGATTTGAATCTGGGCATCCTGGCCCCAAAGGCAGTGCCATTCACCATCACCTGTGCTAACTGTAAAGCGGTGCTGGCTTCCTGAGTTCCCCTTCAGTCTGGAGACACCCTCTGGGAAGTGGTGCTGGAAGGGTAGAAAGAAGGAAGGAAGGTAACCAGAATGACATTCTCAACCCGGTTGTATCCACAGATGTCCTGGCCTGAGGGAGGAAGCTGAGCTTCACTCTCCTGGGAAAGTCTCAAAGACAGAAAAACCACTTCCTGTGTACAGGGTCCCATGCCCTACCCAGACCCAGGTCTCAGTCTTCTGGGTGGGAAGACAGATTCAACTATCTTTGACTCTTTCAGCAGGACTCAAGTTCCTCTGCTTCAGTTTACCAGGAGCATTCCAGACCAGAGAGGCTGTAGTCGTCTTCAAAGGCAGCACAGTGCTGGTAACTTCTGTGATTTCCATGGAGGTAGAAAAGCCCACCACCACTGCTGTCCACCTTCATCTCTCAGAGCCCAAGAAGAAGGCCTCATCCCCTCCCGGCAGCATCCCGACATCTCAGGGTGACTTAGCTCCTGTCCCTGACATTATACTAATCACAATCCCCAACACCCGAATTCTTGCCAAATCATCCCACTTTTCCACTCATCTCCTGTGCTGTAACAGGAGGGCAGACCTGCTTCTCCTCAGAGGCCCTTGTCTTCTGCCCCAAGTACACAGAAAGCTGGCAAGTCCTTCACACTGTCTGTCTGACCTTCAACTGCCCTGTTGCAGATAAGCTTCCTCTCCTCACCCCAAAAACTACACGATGGTGGTGGGAGAGAAAAGCCCCCGCTCCCCACCTGCCCGGGTCAAGGGAGAATCCACCCAAACCACCCAGCGTACGAGAGACAAAGATCAGACGCCAGGAAGGCCTTCCCCTCACAAACTTGAAAAGGAAGGCATCTCGCAATCAAATACAACAAACACAGCACCAAGCAGTTGGGGCTGGAGTTTACTGCAGGGGACGCATGGACACAGAGATTCAGAGAGGAGAGGGTGGGCTGTGGGCTCTGTGCTCAGAATCCTACGGAGGGTATCAGGAAGCGTCAGGATGGGGTCTGCCAGATGGCGGAGGAGGACCCCGGCCTGACGGCAGAGGAGCAAGGCCCCGGGCCAGCTCCCCTTGGCCCCCCATTCTTCTGGATGACGGCTCCGGAGACGCTAGGTGGTATCATGAGGAGGGACACCGGCTCTCGAGGGCTGGCGATCCAGCTTGGGGCGGGAGGCAGGGTTACCCGGGTCCTCGCCCCCCCACGGCCTCCGGCGTCTCTCTGGGTGTCTGGCGGCTCGGGCGGCGGCTGGGGTCGCTGTGGCGGCGGCGGCGGCGGCTGCGCGGCAGCTCGAGCTGGGGTCGCGGCCCACCGGGGGCTCCCAGGAGGCAGGAGACCGAGGCAGCGGCGGGCGCCGGGGCGGGCGGCGCGCCCGGGCGGGCGGCGCACGGAGGGGACAGCGCGCTGGGCGGCGGGCCGGCGGGCCCCGCGGGGGGCCGCGTGGGAACCCAGATGAGACCGTAGTAGACGGCGAGCAGCACGGCGGCCAACGAGACGCAGAGAAAGTAGGCGCAGACCGGGGCAAGGCGCAGCCAGCGGCCGCGCGGGCCTTCACTCAGCCCCGCGCCACCCGGGCTCTCGCCGCCGCCCACGCAGCTCGTGCCCCGCATCCCCGCAGCCCACTGGGCCCCGCGCAGCGGCCCGCGCAGGCCCCGCCCCCTGGGCACGCCCCCTCCCCGGGCCCACCTCCTCGGAGGACCGCCTCCGCGCTGAGCCTCCCGCGTCCAACCCCGCCCCCGCCAGCATGGTCACGCCCCCGAGAGGGCGGGTCTCCCGGCCGCGCGCTCTGGGCCCGCCCCCTCTCGTCCTCAGCCAATCATTAACAAGCTAAGGCTCAACTAGCGTCCTAACCCCACCCTCCACTTAGCTCTGACCCCGCCCCAGGTGGGCAAAGGCAGCTCTCAGCGTCCGCCAGAGTTAAATGCAAGCCCGCCCAGCGCCTAGCCGCGCCCTCCTCTCTCTGCCCCCCCTACCCCAGCCGTAACCCCGTCCCCTTTTGGGACTCAGACTTCTCCCAGGCATCTAAGCCCGCCTCCAAGCCCCACGGCCTGGCCAGGTTCAGGCCTTACAAAGCCCTCCTATCCTTAGCCGCAGGCTCGCTCCTCTTCTCTCTCACCTTTCCCCAAATCAAACTAGACTGGAGCATTCGAAGGCACCCTCTCTTACTGGATTCACGCTCTCTAGCCCAGGCTCCACCCCTTTCCTCCGCCTCGCTCCACTGGTTCTAGCACCTTACAGAACACGCCCTCGACCGAGGGCTGCACCCCACGCCCGCATTAGGAACTCCTGTCTAAACCGGCTCTCGCGGCCCCATGCTACGTCTCAGGCCGTGCAGTGTTCTAACTCCATCCAGCAGAACTCTAGCCTCGTCCAGGCGTTCTAACGACGCCCTTCACGAGACCTCCTCTGGATTTAGTGTCCTGAGGTCTAAACACACCCCGAAGCCCCAGCTCGGCCCCACAACCCTTCCCCAACTCCTCCCCGCCACCCTCAATTTCTCCCACTCCCTAAAGCCATGGGATCCAGAGCGGTCTCCGGGGAGGAGAGAGCGCAGCCTGGAAATCCAGACTAACCCCCTCCTGCCGCCCCCACCCCATCAAGGCGGGGAAGCTTCAGTCCCCTCCCAGCAGCGTCTTCAGGAATTCGGGGAGGCCTGCAGGAGGGGGGGGGGAGGGAAGACGTATCAGGGGAGTGGAGGAAGGAAGACCCCTTCCTCCCGCCTCTTCCGCCACGGAAAAGCCCGCCAAGCACAGCAACCCAGCCTGCCCTGCCAGAAACACAGTTCAAAGGTTAGCGGAAGCACTGCGTTTAATCAGAGACCGGGCCGGTGGCCGAGTAATTCCAAGTCCCGTGGAAGAGTCACCGGCTATTTGCCATGCCCCAGATGTAAACTCCAGGAGGCGGGAATCTAGGCCTGGGGCCTGGCACCCAGTCCCAGTCCCCCCCCCCCATGGCTGCCACGAGGTGGGTAAGTGGGGGGTGTCTTAGCCCTCCCGGTGCCACGGCGCCCCCGAGGCGAAAGACGACCACCGCCCCGGTCCCACCCGGTTCGCTGTCCCTGGCTCCGCCCCCCTTACATTTAACCCTCTCCTGGCGGGAGTGTGACGGAAGCAGAGGACAGAGGAGCGAGGCGGCGGGAGGTTAGTGCAGAGCGCGGAGGCCCCAGGCGGCGGGCGCGGTCAGCGGGCGGCCCCCGGTGACGGGGCGGCCGCCATCACCTTGCAGAAACGCACCCTCTGGAAGTCTGTGATCTCCGCGGCCTCCTGGCCCTCGGGGCCCGCCTCTGGGGAGAGAAGGGGCAGTCAGCGGAGGGGACAGTCTTCCCCCACTCCTTCCGGACACCCCACCCCGTCTAGTTCCGTCTCTTATCCCAACTGAGCCTGGCTTCAGGCGTCCTGAGTTAGGTGGTTTATGGGCCTCCGGCTCCTTTAATATTCCCCACAAGCTGCATGCACCCCACCAGAACCCTGTCTGCAATGGAAGAAATAATCTGGGATGGCCAGATTGTGGTTACTCAGCCAGCATGTAGCCCAAAGACAGCCCCTGGGCACGCTGCCCTCACCTGCCACCTTAAGCACGGTACTGTCGCACCCAGCCACACCCCCCCTCAGGCTCCCATGGGCATAAACTAACTCCATCGCACCTGCCCCATTGGACCTGTCCCCCCTGCCCCTTGGCCACCTGAACTCTGACCAGATCTTCCCTGGCTCTGCCCCAAACCCTAACCTCGCTCCTGGGGAGGTGAGGTCCCTGCTTCAAAACCTGATTTGCACTGAGGGAGGTGGAGAGATGGGGTTGGGCCCAACATTCTAATGGGGTCTGCATTTCTATTCTAATTTACCGTGCTTCATTAGACCTCAGAACTCCAATCCTGCCCAGAGCAAAATCCGCAAACCTGCCATGCTCTCCATTCTTACTTTTGACCTATTTCAATTTCTCATCCTGCCTTCAGCCCCGCCCCTTGAAGCTAGCCCCACCCCATTACTTTTAGATTACATCCCCAAGTCCCTGGGGACCCTCTAAATCCTAATCCTATCCTGGCTCCACCTCCTTACCCGCAGGCCCCCCCTCAATTCCCCAGCACCCCAGAGGTCCTCCACTTCACTGCACCCACCCTGACCTTAGCACCATAGCCTCACCCCCAGGGCCACTGCTACCCCTACCCCACACACCCAGGTCCCCTCTATCCTACTCTCCCCAAACCCTCCCCTCAGCCCCAGAGGGAGAAAAAGGAAGGAAGGAGGCCATCTCAGGCCCCATCCACTCCCCCACCTGGAGCTGCCTCAGACCCTTCCTCTTCAGCTTTATGGGTTCCTGGGAGGCTGGGCCCACTCTCCAGGGAGGCAGGGGCTGGCTGGTCACCTCCTGGGGAAGGGGGAGGCCCAGTCAAGCCCTTACCCCACCAAATATCCACCCCACCCTGAGAGAGAAGGCCCTGGGGGAGTGAGGGTGTTCAAGGACACACTTGGGGAATATCATTTGAGGACGTGAATTCTTTATTGGGGAGGGGGATCTGTGGCCCAGAGCAGGGGCAGGATCTGAGGGGAGGGCATTCCAGAGACAGGCCTGGACTGTCCTCCCTAGCCTCCAAAGTGGTGGGGCACACGGGGTCCTGGGGCCCAGCCCCTCACGATCCCCCCTGCACGCGCGCACACACAACACAAGCAGCAAGCTTCATGCATTTCCAAAAGGCCAGGCCTCACCCGGAGACAGGGCATCAGCCGGGTGGGTGTTCCGGGGAGAATTCAGCTCCATCTCTTCACCCCAGTCAGACACAGGCTGGTGGTCCCCAGGGGGCAAAAAGGGGCTAGAAGGTGTGGCAGGGGCTTGGGGAAGTGGCAGGGGCTCCTCTGGCCTGAAGGGCTCTTTGTCAGCCTGCTCACCGGTGGGGCTTCCGGTGGGGCTTCCAGTGGGGCTTCTGGTAGGGCTTCCGGTGGGGTCAGCCTCTTGGGGTTGATGGTCTTGGGCTGGTTGTTCTTCCTCCTCCTCAGCCTCTTCTTCCTCCTCGATCTCCTCCTCCTCACTCACGTCTTCCCACTCCTCATCCTCCCCCTCGTCCTCCTCCCCCTCATCCTCAGGGGGCCGGTGGGCAGGAGGAGCTGGAGTCTCAAGTGGCTGTGGGGAACACAAGGTAGGTCGGGGAGAGGGTGTGGGCCCTGAGCACCCCCAGGCCCCCTGCCCAGAGATGACAGCCACCCTACCTGTGTGGGCGCCTCCTCAGGTGGAGTGGGCTGTGAGGCCTCAGGGGCTGGGGACACCACCTCCTTCGTCTCCCAGCGGTCATCATGGTCACTGGAGGGAACGGAAGAAAGGGGTCAGGCCCAGGTGGACAGGAAGAAGGAGCTTCCCGCCTCTGGGTCCTCTCCAGAAAAGAGCTACAAAATTCAACTTGGGGCGCAAGGGGCCTGCAGATTTCCAGGTGAGGATCCAGCATGTTTGAGTGCTGAGGAGAAAATGGTGGGTGTGTGTCCCCAGGGGTCAGGGACAGACAGAGGGGGGACAGGTGGCAGAAGACGTGTGAGAGGGGACAAAGGGAGAGATGGAGGTAAAGCAAAGAGCCTAGGCCCCAACTCCCCCAGAGCAAGAACCTGACCCAGAGAGAGACAAGTACCTGAGAACAGACAGGGAAGAGACAGCACAGACACACCCACACAACAAGTCAGAACCACCAGAAACAGAGCCCAACAGCCCTGCTGGAAGCACGGGGGTCTACACACGCCAGGGGAAGGGGTGCCCCCACCTGTAGGCACGAGGGGCTGCCTTGGTCTGGGGTCGGCTACTCTTCTTCTTCCTGCGGCTGACCTCAGCTTTGTGCTGGGACAGGAACTCCCTGAAAGTGGGGGGTTTGGGGGGCCGAGTCCAGGCCTGATCATCTGCAATAGAACCCAGGAGGAATCAGGGATGGGGGGCATGGCACAAACCAATCCCCAGGCCTGGCCCTGCCAGCTACCCCACCCCACCCGAGGACACCCACTCACCGTAGCGGTGAGATGGTTCAAGGGCAGCAGCTGGACCATCCTTGAACCTGGGGAAAAGAGAAAGGGGGTGGTGAGCACGCAGCTGGGAGAATAGTGGGAGCAAGAGGGGTGGGGAGAGATGTGGGCTGAGATCAGAAATCAAGGTCATAGAGGGAAACACTGATTAGAAGGCAGACAGGTGATGGACAAGAGGCAAACTTGACACTGTAGTGACAGATAACAGAGAAAAAACTCAGTAACTGACCAAAAGAAAAACAGCAAGTACATGATCCCCAGCTTCTGGTGTGGCCTCAATTCTTATCACTGTCTCCCATCTCCCCAGATAAGCAGTCTCCTACTACACAGAGCTCCTGCCTCAGGGCCTTTGCACCTGCTGCTCATGGAACACTTCCACAGACCTTTCAGTGGCCTGCACCCCACATCCTCCAGGCCCCAGCTCAGATTCTCCTAGACACTGGTCTAAAATAATCACATTATTATATATATCACCAAGTTCTAAAACAAGACCCCCTGTTCTCTGTACTCTTTCACTGTTCTTCATAACCTGCACTGGATCTATTACTGAATAGATCCTTTCCAACTAGACTCTAGCTTCCCTGAAGGCAGAAGCATTTTGTTCACTACTACATCCCCATCACCTGTCATGACACAGAGAAGGGACTCAATACATTTGCTGATGGAGGCACCTGGGTGGCTCAGTCAGTTAAGCACCTGCCTTGGGCTCAGGTCATAATCCTGGAGGATCGAGCCCCACATCAGGCGTCCTGCTCAGCGGGGAGCCTGCTTCTCCCTCCCCTCTGCCCTTCCCCCTGCTTGTGCTCGCTCTCTAATAAATAAAATCTTAAAAAAAAAATGCTGCTGAAATCAAAGCATGCATTCATCAATGAGACTTGCTGCAGACTACTTTGGGGACATTTTATCATTCTTAACCCTGAGAATGTCTCCTAAAAGCCTTGGAAAGATCAGCTAGGATATCCATGCAAAGTGTTTCTTGCACTTGTGCAAGCTTGGCTCACAATCCACAAATAAATGCTCTGACCACTGGGCACACACATACCACCCTCTATCTCCAGCGAGTGCCAACAATAAAAGTGACTGGCATGAAAACTTCCAAAGGGTGCGGGACGGCTGGGTGGCTAAGTTGGGCATCTGACTCTTGATTTCGGCTCAGGTCATGATCTCAGGGTCGTGGGACTGAGCCCCGTGTGGGGGGCTCTGTGCTCAGCAGAGAGTCTGCTTGAGGATTCTCTCTCTCCCTCTGCCACTCCCCCTGCTTGCCTGTGCTTTCTCTCTCAAATAATTAATGAATTAAACCACAACTGCAGATCTTATGATTGCTGTTGGCTGGCTCTGGTACAGAAGTTGGCCTTTTTGTCAATGACACAACAGTATAGCTTTGCTTTAAGTTAGACTAACTGGATGCTTCCCAGGACCTGAAAGGGGACACAAGTAGGACAAGGATAACAGTGGCACCTGGATAGGGAGTTTGGGTTTGGGGGGCTGCGGTTTGAAGGTGTAATCACTGTTAGCAATTCTTCACGCCTTCTCCATTTAGAATTTCCATCTGTACCATTAGCCAGGGCGCCACTGCAGTACCATCAACTGGAGCCGTGTAATGTCCCGCCCCAGTAATGCTGGGTCTGTTGCTAACAGAATGGGAAATATGTCCACCTCCCTCCTGCACATCTGCCAATGCCATGACCAGCACTTCTCCAGAGGACTGCTTCTGCCTGAACCCCAGTATGAGCCCACATGGAGCAGAACTGAGTTCAGCCTAGAAGCCAAGCCTAGCTGGACCCAAAGCTTAGAGCCCAGCCTGGATCACCCAAACCCAGCTGACCTGTAAACAGATGAGGAAAAAAAATGGCTTTCTTTTTTTTTTTTTTTTTTAATGGCTTTCAAAAGAGAAAAAAGGGGTGCCTGGGCGGCTCAGTCAGTTAAGAGTCTGCCTTCAGCTCAGATCATAATTCTGAGGTCCTGGGATCGAGCCCACATCGAGCTCCCTGCTCAGAGGGGAGCCTGCTTCTCCCTCTCCCTCTGCTGTTCCCCCTGCTTGTGGTCTCTGGCTTGCTCTCTCTCTCAAATATACAAGAAAAAGGAAGAGAAGGGAAGAGGTTTTATATGCCAGGGATTTGGTAGTGGTTATGCAACACAATGATTGCTAATTGATACACAAGGTAGGACGAGAGAGAGAAAGGAGTAAGTCAGGGTGAAGGTCAAGGAGCCAGACAAGAGTGGACAAAGGGGACACTCACATCCCATCGGTCTTTTCAGCATCCCACTCCCGCCGCCACTGGCCAGTGGGCTTGCGGTGTCTCTGCAGGCGTTCCTGGTCGATCTTTTCCCTCTCCTGCTTCCAGCGCAGATACTCCGACCGCTCCCGGCCCGTCATGGAGAGCGTCATGTCACCAGCGCTGCCCAGGCCAGCCCGGCGGCCCTGCCCACACCCAGAAAGGCAGTCAGAGCCCCGTTCCACAAGCCAGTCCACTCAGTCTCACCCCCGTGCCCTCTGGGCTCAGAAATAGGGCCACGTTCAAGGTCACACAAGAAGGTGACGGGGTAGGGATCAGAACCAGGTCAGCTCACGTGGCATCTCCTCAGAGAGACCATCCCAGGGTCCTCCTCTCTATTCCCTCTCACTGCAAGGTTTTTCTTCACAATGTTTCACATTACCCAACACCTTACTGTATGTTCGTTTATATGGCTCCCTGCAGAATCTACTTCAGGGCAGGGGATTTGCCTTAAGACTCAGCCCCAGCACCTAAGTTGGCATCCCACACCCAGCAGGTCCCAGTTAGCATTACTGACACTAGGCAGAGCGTACAGCACCTAAAAGCATCATAAAGCTGTTCAGGGAAAAGAGCTATGGCCCCAGGCTCAAGAAGGGACCATTAGCCTGGGGCTGAATATGAGGTGTGGGGGCCCCTGGGTGGCTCAGTGGTTGTGTGTCTGCCTTCGGCCCAGGGTGTGATCCCAGGGTCCTGGGATCGAGTCCTGTATCGGGGTCTCCGCAGGGAGCCTGCTTCTCCCTCCTCCTACATCTCTGCCTCTCTCTCCATGTCTCTCATGAATAAATGAATTAAAAAAAAAAAAAAAGATGGGGTGGGGAGGCCACCCCTCCCTGCTGGGCCTGGCACTCAGGCACACCCTCAATCAAATGTATGCTGCAGAAAGGACAGAATGGCTGCAGAGCGGTAGCGGACCTGGGGTGCCCCAGCTGCCAGCACACACCTGCCGTTCCTGCTCCAGGCCGCAGCGCACCCGCTCAAAGTCAGGCCCCCCCCAGTTGCGCCCGTGCCGGCGGCTGCCTTCCCGGCGGTCCCGCTCAGGTTCCTCCAGGGGCCCACTGCGCCGCCGGGGATCGTCCAGGAAGTTCCGCACAGGGTTGGGCTCCAGCACACCTTCCTACGGGCACAGGGAGTAGGGGTGGGGGTTGGAGGGCGCCCTGAGGCCCAAGCGGCTCCACCCCACCACTGGGACGCCTCCCCGGCACTGACCCGCTGGTTGCGCTCATACTCCGCAATCTTCTCCATCTCCTCATTCATCTTCTCGATGTTCTGCCGCCGCCGCTCCTCCCACTCCTGGTGGCACGTAGAAGAGAGATGCTGGGGTGTCAGGAAGATGCTAACAACGCCGGTGTCTGTTAGCATCTGCGCAGAAAGACCATGGCAGGCCTGAGTCTCTCTCTGTAGATAGGCCTGCTGGCAAGGCCGGCTCCTGACTGGCATCTGGGAACTTGACGCCCAGAACATTCCTGGGCAATGGTTAACTATAAAGGGGGCCTAAAGTGCCTTAGCTGCCCGTGCAAGTGGCAGGGTACATGCTGAAAGTACCGAACGACTGCTTTCCTTCTGGTGTCTGGGATTTGCATGTGTACGAGGCAGAGAGGACCTATGTGACCAGCACCCAACAAAAACCCCAGGGACTTGGTCTCTAGGAAGTCCCCGTGGACAGCCCTTCACGTGTGTTGTCACGATTCAACACTGGAGGAATTAAGGACACTGTGAGGTGTGACTGCATTCCACAAGAACGTTTGGGAGCCTACACCTGAGCTCCTCCAGACGTTGTCCTGTGCACTTTCTTTGTTTGGTTTCGCATCATAATAAATCTTAGCCATCAATCAATCTTTCTAGGAGAACAATGAACCCTACAAAGGAGCTGGGGACCCCAACACTCCATAGCTGCACAGAAATTATCCCAAAAGCAACAATAACTTAGGAGGTGTGGCAGGGTGACGACCCACACACAATCCATTCTCCCCTCTTCCGTGGTAGCAGAATTTTAAATGAGCACACGGCCAAGTTGCTGGAGAAGACGTTTTCATTCCCAGGGCTCAACATACGGGAGAGAAACTTCCACCTTGGTTAAGCCATGGTGTTCTGAGGTCTTTTGGAGACAGCAGCTTTAACGCGTGCAAACACCCATAAGTAACATTCCTCAAGCACTTGAGCATTATCAGGATTTCCACACCCCATGTCCCAGAATACTGGTGATAACCTTGAAACCTGATTATTACTCCCCTGAGAGCCTAGGAGACTCTAGAGGGAAGTGAGTTGCCCAGGGATAGGGAACTAATCGAACAGAGTTGACCCCAAGTCCAAGGCAGGCTCAGAGCCCCTGTGCTAGACAGCCTCCCAGCCTGCAGATCTGCACGCCAGGGCGGTAGAGCAGTCACAGTAAGACATCACTGGTTCCCGCAAATAAATCCAGGCTATGAGACAGAACAAGAGAGACGGGGGGTGAGGGAGGGGGTGCATGTATACTGGACAGAAACATTTCACTAAAAAGAGAGAACAAAGACATAGGCCAACAGAAGGTGGGGAGGAGTGGCAAGTATGCACCAGACAGCCAAAAAAGGGCGATAAAGAGACAGGGAGGGGCAGCCCGGATGGCTCAACAGTTTAGCTATGTCTTCAGCCCAGGGCGTGATCCTGGGGTCCCAGGATGGGGTCCCAGGATTGAGTCCTGCATCGGGCTTCCTGCAAGGAGCCTGCTTCTCCCTCTGCCTCAATCTCTCTGTCTCTCTCTCTCTGTCTCTCATGAATAAATAAATAAAATCTTAAAACAAAAAAAAAATTTTTAAAAAGAGAGACAGGGAGAGTCCACTAAGCACGAGTCAGGGGAGGGAGGGAGGAATAGGAGAGAAAGAGCTGATGGTAGGGCTCACATACAGAAAGATGGACAATCGGACACTCAGAAATGGGTGTTTGAGAGCAGAAACCAGGAGGAAGGAGACAGTAAGAGCCTCAGCCAGAGGACTCCAGCCTGTTCCAGGCTCCTACCTTAGATTTGCGGTCAGCCACTGAGGTATCTCCAGCTCCAGAAAGATGAGGGGACCCTCGGCCCCGGCCTCTCCGACCACGGCCCCCAGCTCCTCCTCGAGGCTGCTCCCCACAACTCTCCTCCCAGCTGCGGGCTGCCCGGCCCATGCCTGCCCGGCCTCCATGTTGGGGGGGCATCCGGCCTCCCTTGCTGGCACCTGGGGGCCGTGGGGTCCCGGGAGACCTTCGAGAGGTCTTCTCCTGGAAGAGGGGAGGGAGGAAGAGCACAGTGACTGGAATGCAGAAGCAGGGACAGCCCAGCTCAGAGGGCAGCTGCAAGATTTGAGGCTGCCCGGAAGGCTGGGGCAGCTGGGGGGGGCTCTCAGACCTTGGGTCTCAACTCTCACCCCGTCCCTGTCCTGATGAGGCCCCCAACCCAGTGTGGAGCTCACCGCCTCAACTGCCACGTTCTCCTTCTCCACTGAGCGGTTCTTCCGGGGTGCTGTCACGGCTACTCCCTCGAGTTCGGCTTTTTTCCGGTCCTCCTCAATCTCCTGGGAGCAAACATCAGCAGGAAGAAAGTGTCAGGGGACCTGGTGCCCGCTGGATTCCCACAGCCCCCTGAGCTCCTCTCAAGACCAGCCCCCACCTGAGCCTCTCTCCTGAACTTCTGACAAGACAGCTGGTCACTTCAGCACCTTCCCCTTCACACCACCACACTGGTTCCCTGCTCAGAAACCTCCTGTGGTACCCACCTCTGAGTAAGAGCCAAAAGCTTCCCAGGAGATTACGTGGCCCTATGGGGTCTGGCCTCGTTACCATTCTGACCTTATCCCCCACCCTCTCCCCTTCTTGTCCCCCTTGCTCATTCTGCATTCTCATGTTCCTAGAACTTACTAGGCTCTGACCCACCCCAGGGCCTTTGTACCTCTGCTGAAAACACTCTTCCCCTCAGTCCCTCACCTCCTTCAGACTTTTTTTTTAATATTTTATTTATTTATTTATGAGAAACACAGAGAGAGAGAGAGAGAGAAAGCAGAGACATAGGCAGAGAGAGAAGCAGGCTCCATGCAGGGAGCCCGACGTGGGACTCAATCCCAGGACTCCAGGATCACACCCTGGGCCAAAGGCAGGCATTCAACCACGGAGCCACCCAGGCGTCCCTTCCTTCAGGTTTCTGCTCCTAAAATGTCTCCTTCTCAGAGAGGCCTTCCCTGACCAACTTACAGAAACCACCTACCCCACCATTCTCATGGCCCTTCTCCTGTTCACTGCTTGACCTTGTATGTACTTTGCCTATTGTCTGCCTTCCCCTTTGCAACAGAAACTGCCTGAGGACAGGGATATCTGGCTGTTTTGTTCACTGATTTATAAACCCAAGCCTAGAACAATTCGTGATATACAACAGAAACTCGACATGCTGCTTTTTTTTTTTCCAAGTAAATGAATGAATGCATGAAAAATGAGTAAGTGAAACCCACTCTTTCTTCCAGGTTCCTTCTTAGGAACAGCCTCATCAACTGCTCTGTCACTTTTGACAAGGACCTGGGCCACATCTTGGCCCTTGCCTTCTCCTCCCCATCTCTGCCACCACCTGCCATTGAGTCCTCCCAACAGCCCTATCCCAGGCCTGGGACTTCTCCTCACCGAGGTCCCTGCCTCAGCTTCCTCCTTGGTCTCTGGGCTCTGATATCGACTCCTCCCACCCATCACCACACAGCACCCAGGGGGCTCTTCCTAAAAGGCTATTCTGACCAGATCCCACTCCTGCTCAAAACCCTCCATAGTTCCCCAGTGCTCTCGAGAAAAAGTCCAAATTCTCAGCCTGGCTGCCAGGATCAATAGCCCTCCACTGACCTTCCAACACTAAGCTCCAAATTTCTGCACAAACTGTTCCCTCTACTTGAAACACATTCAGCTCCTCTTTTCAGCTAGCTAACTCAGCCTTCAGGTCTCAGAATCTCTTCCTCCAGGAAGCCCTCCCTAATATCCCCCAGACTGGGTGAGGAGCCCCCTCTGGGACCTCCAAACCCCTGAACCCCTGCAGCCCAACCCAGCCCACTCTGGGTCATCACTGCCTGAAGCAAGGTCTGCGCCCCCACAGGACTGTAAACTCTGGAAAAACAGGGTCAGGGCTGTCTCAGTCATAGCTATGTCCCCAGTAACACTAAGCCTAGCAGTGAAAACCCTGGCAAGTATTCATGTATGAATGATGGGATGATGGAATGAAGGAAGGAATGGCAGGCTTAGGTCTTTGGTTTTTATCCTGAAAGTGATGGGGAGCCATGAAAAGGTTTGAAGGAAGGGAGAGGTGAGCGAAACTCACTGCGGGGGAGGAGAGGGGATGGGGTCTCCCAGGGCGGGGCTAGGGCACCTGGTAGCGCCGGATGAGGGCCTCATTCTTTCGCCGAAGAGCCTCGATCCTCTTGTCCAACTCAGCATCTTTCTCCTCCTTCGATTTCAGATCCAGTGTGGCTGACTGAGAGGAGGAGACAGTTGAGAGACAGTAAGAAAAACCTACACCCACTCCGGCCCCATTCGATCCAGGGTCTGAATCTTGGGGCCCCTCCTCAAGAGCCCTGGAACCCAAAGCTCAGATTCCAGAAACCCCACTTTCCATCTCACCATTCCGCTGGCTAGGTGGGGCCAGGGTCCCAGCAAACTTCCCCTGCACAATCTGGACACAGCACAGGGGGTGCCTGAGGGCAGAGGGAACAGAAAGAACTAAGGCCAATGCCTCCTCAGTCTGCTTCCATCTCACCCTTACTGGGGACTCCTCTCAAACACATTTGCACATAAACACCAGCACCTGCATCCCAGAGAATTCTAGTCCTCACTCCCACCGCCTTTTCTTGTGCTACCTCAGCACTGACCTGGAGAAATGTACACTCCGCCATTTGTACCCACCCATTCCCCACTTCAACACTAGTCACGCCCACCTTGGGAAAGTTCTGGTCCCACCCTACCGCTTAAGGAAACATCCAACACTGCTCCACACCCCAGTGCTGGGAGTTTCAACCCAGGGCCTCCATCTCCAGAGAGCTTCAGATACATCCTCTCATCCCCAGTCTGTACAAGAAGATTCTAGGCCCACGTTCCTGAGTCCACTCTGGTCCCGCTCCATCCCCGAGAACATTCTAAATCCACCTTTTTCCCCAGGAATGTTTCAGAATCGTCCATAACTCCACACTCAAAATACGTTCGAACCCTACGCCTACAGGTTGCCTGACCCTGGGAGAACCCTTTAAGCCCACACCTCCCTCTGGGATGTCCTAGTCCCGCCCCCAACATCCCGAGGAAGGTGCCGCTGCCTCCGCAACAACTCCGCAAAGGAAACTGGCCCAGTACTCACTAGAGAGGCTTCCTGGGCCTGGCTCAACCACCCCACAGAACTTCCCGGCCGGCGCGCGCCTTTGCAGGGAGAAGCTCCAGCCTCCACCCTCTCGGAAAGGCCACGGCCCCAGCCCCCGCCGGGGCCAACTTTGCGGCCCCGCCTTTCCCTCTAGGCCTCTAACCCCGCCCACAGGCGCATCCTGAGTCTGGCCCCACTTCAGACTTTCCCAGCCAACCCCTCGGCCCCGCCCCCTGACCCCCAGGCAGAAGCCTGAACCCGCCCCCCGCTCCTCGCGCTAGTCCGTCGGCCCCGCCTCCTCTTTGCCCAGCCCAGCTCCCAGCCCCGCCCCCTGCCTCCCAGCCCCGCCCCCTCGCGGCAGGCTATGGCCCCGCCCCCGGCGCCCCTGGCCGAGGTCCTGGCTCCCGCGCCAGCTTCTGCGCCGACGCTCTGACCGCGCCCCTGGCTCCCGCAAAACTTTCTGGCACCACCCCCCGGCATTCCCCGCCGACAGCCCTGGCCCCGCCCCCTGCCACCCACAACTTCTGAGTCTAGCCTCCGCCTTCGCGTCTGCCTCGGCAGTCAGGGCCGACCATCAGGGCCCACTTCCAGCTCGGGCAAAACTTTCTGGCCCCGCCTCCAGCACGTTCAGCCAGCGCCCCGGCCCCGCCCCCTAGCTCTCCGGGCGGTATTGGTCCCGCCCCGCCTCCCTGTGCCCACCCACGCCCCCGCCCCGCCCACAGCCCGGCCCGCCAGTGCCCGGCCCACCCGCCGCCGTCCCGCCCCGCCAGCGCCCCCCCAGCCTCCCAAGTGGGCGTCCCGTCCCCGCCCCCCGCAGAGTACTCTGGCCCCGCCCCCGCGGCCTGCTCGGCCCCGCCCGCGCCCGCGCCCGTTCCCCTCACGTGGGGCGCCAGGCCCCGCCCTCTCCGGGCGCGCTCCCGGCCCCCTCCCCCGGTCACCTGTCCCGGAGACCCCGCGGCGTCCGCGACTCCGGCTCCGTCGGCCTCCGCGTCTGCAGCTCCCGGGCCGCGCGCGTCACTTCCCGTCCGCACCACGTGAAGGGGGGAACTAAAGAGAGTCACTTCCGGTCCTGCCGGCCCGTTTCCGGGAGCCTTAAAGGCGCCGCACCCTCCTGCAATGAAACCTTAGTTGTAGAAGCTTAAAATTTCCAACCCTTAGAATCTTTCCTTCATTCCCTAAATCTGCATTGAGTGCCAAGCTAGGGGGAGGTGAAGTGCCTGGGGGGAGGAGGGGAGTCAAGGCAGTGCACAAGGCAGACCCCATCCCTTCCCTCAGGAGGGGAGGCACAAGTACATGTGAAATAACAGAAATAGAAATGTGGGAGCTACCTTGCAGAGAGGCAGGAGGAGAGGCCTCAGGGTGAGAGGCAGGGGCTGTCCAGAGCACACACAGCCTGTGCAAAGGCCCTGTGGTGAGCGAGCTTAGTGCATTCCAGGAACTGGAAGAAGCTCAGAGAGGGAGCCACTGGATTTGGCTACAGAAGGCAGGGGGGTTACTTGCAGTAACCAAAAATTCGTTGCGATGAACCTATCATCACAATTGATAAAAAGTTGGGGATCCCTGGGTGGCTCAGCGGTCTGGCGCCTGCCTTGGCCCCGGGGCATGATCCCGGAGTCCCGAGATCAGGTCCCTCCTCAGGCTCCCTGCATGGAAACTGCTTCTCCCTCTGCCTGTGTCTCTGCCTCTCTCTCTCTGTCTCTTATGAATAAATAAATAAAATCTTTTAAAAAAAATGATAAAAAGTTTTGACAATTATAAGTGTGGGCAGACAAGATTCCCTGAGGTTGCTGGTCATTTTATCTTGTCATTTAAAACTGGCAAGTGGGATCCCTGGGTGGTGCAGCGGTTTGGCGCATGCCTTTGGCCCAGGGCGTGATCCTGGAGACCCGGGATCGAATCCCACGTCAGGCTCCCGGTGCATGGAGCCTGCTTCTCCCTCTGCCTGTGTCTCTGCCTCTCTCTCTCTCTCTCTCTCTGTGTGTGTGTGTGTGTGTGTGTGTGTGTGTGTGTGACTATCATAAATAAATAAAAATTAAAAAAAATAAATAAAACTGGCAAGTGGAAGTACCTCCTAATCCCTCATTCCTTAAAAGGTTACTGTTAACAGCCTTTCAAAGAATCTCTCTGCATATATAACTGAATTTCTTATGACTCCCCAAATACCTGCCAAGCTCACTACATGCTTCTTTAGTTCTTTATTCATATGTCAGCTCCACTTAGGGACCTCTCTTGAAGCCACCTGTTTGAAAATTGCAAAACCTCCCATTACAATTCTTCTTCCCACTGTTTTTCCATTTTACTGTTCACCCTCTGAACTCACCAAATGTTTTACTTACTTATCTTGTTTTCTGTCTCCTCCACCGTATCTTCTTCTTATAACCTGCTGTGTCCCCAGTGCCTCTAACAATACCTCATGCATAGTAAACTCTCGAAGAAAATGTGTTTATGAATGGGTGAATCTTTATTACAACTATATTCTCCTTTCCTGTAAAACAAAAAGCGTATATACTACACTGAGATTATAGATCTTTATTTTAACAATGGATGGCTGACAACCTTTAAAACTGCTGTGTGAGGGGCACCTGGGTGGTTCAGTTGGTTAAACATCTGCCTTCAGCTCAGGTCATGATCTCAGAGTCCTGGGTCGGAGACCCACATTGGGCTCCCTGCTCAGCAGGGACTCTGCTCCCTCTGCCTCTGTCCCTTACCTCGCTCATGCTCACTCGCTCACTCTTTTTCTCTCTGTCTGAAATAAATAAGACCTTTGGGAGGGGAAGGGTATTTAAAAAAAAGTTAATTCACATTACAACTTTTCAGTAAAAATAAAGCATGGTGGACACAGGTAGTTTAGGGCCTGTAGTTCATACAAAGCTGGAAGCCCTCTTGAAAAAGAGAATAAAAAATGTAAAAAAAAAAAAAAAAAAAACAAAGTTATAAGACAGGAGCACCTCCCAGGGGGTTGGACAGAGCCCTGGCTCTGTTGGACGCAGCATCTGGAGGCTCCCACTTCATCTGCCTGGTGGCAAAGCCACCTCTGATGGTGTCATATCAGCAAGAAAGTTGTGCCCACTTTCACTCCCCCAAGCAAGGCCTGAATGCATGTTTCCCCACAGCCTCACTGACACGGTGCTTTGTCACTTTTGATCTTTGCCAATCTGATGGCCCAAGGGTGGCGTAGACTGAGTCACTTCTCCCCTGGCGAAAAGTGACATTTTCATACACATTCATCTATGCATATATCCGTTGCTTGTGGGCGTGGAGAGAAAGAGGGATGCTGAAAAGTACAATAAGATTCTGTCTCTACTTGCATCTGTGTTGTAATGTTAAAAAAAAAAAAAAGTGAGGGGATCCCTGGGTGGCTCAGCAGTTTAGTGCCTACTTTCAGCCCAGGGCGTGATCCTGGATCCCAGGATGGAGTCCCGCATCAGGCTCCCTGCATGGAGCCTGCTTCTCCCTTTGCCTGTGTCTCTGCCTCTGTGTGTGTGTGTCTCATGAATAAATAAATAAAATCCCGGGCAGCCCGGGTGGCTTAGTGGTTGAGCATATGCCTTCGGCTCAAGTCGTGATCTGGGGTGAGATGGAGTCCCACATCGGGCTCCCCATAGGGAGCCTGCTTCTCCCTCTGCCTGTGTCTCTGCCTCCCTCTCTGTGTCTCTCATGAATAAATAAATAAAATCTTAAAAAAAAGAATCTTGAGGGGCAGCCCAGGTGGCTCAGTGGTTTAGCGCCGCCTTCAGCCCAGGGCATGAACCTGGAGACCCAGGATCAAGTCCCATATCAGGCTTCCTGCATGGAGCTTGCTTCTCCCTCTGCCTGTGTCTCTGCCTCTCTCTTTCTGTTTCTCTAATAAATAAATAAAATTTATAAATAAATAAATAATCTTGAGATGGGAGGCATCTGCATGACACAGTCGATTGGGTATCTGACCTTTTTTTTTTTTTTTAAGAGTCTCTGACTCTTGATCTCAGCTCAGGTCTTTATTTTTTTAAGAAGTTTTATTTTACTTTATTTTTCTATTTCTTAGAGAGATTGAGAGCACAAGCAGGGGGTGGGAGCAGAGGGAGAAGCAGAAAAAGAATCCCAAGCAGGCTCCACACTCAGTGCAGAGCCCATCTTGGGGCTTGATCTCATTACCCTGAGATCATGACCTGAGCCGAAATCAAGTCAGACACCTAACCAAATGAGCCACACAGGCGCCCCTCAGCTCAGGTCTTGATCTCAGGATCCTGAGTTTGAGTTCCACATTGAGCTCTACAGTGGGCATGGAGCCTACTTTAAAAGAAGAAAAAGAATCTTGAGATGGGCCATGATCCTGGACCATTTGGAGGGGCCCACTGTAATCCCAAGAGTCCTTATATGAGGGAAGCAGAGGGAGATTTGACACAGACGACAGGGTGACACTGAAGCGCCATGCTTGTGGCTGGCAGCAAAGATAAAGGAAGGACCCACAAGCTGAGGAGTGCAAAGAACACACCTGGCAAAAGCCTCAGAAGATCAGAAAACGGATTCTCCCCTAGAGCCTCCCCAGGGAGTGTGGCCTCCTGACACCTCAATTTGGGCACAGGGAAATTGATTCTGAATCTCCGCACCCCCCACTCCCCCCACCCCACCTCACCCGCGCTTAGAGCTGTAGGAGAATAAATGTGTGTTGTCTGATGGCAGCAATAGGTTCGTAGAACAGTGTCTGCCTCGCCACAGGTGCACTTAACTGTTACTCTGGGTTTTTTAATAGATTTATTTATTTATTTGAGAGAGAGAGAGAGAGAGAGAGAGAGCACGGGGAAAGAGCAGAGGGAGAGAGAAACTCCAAGCATATTTCCTGCTGAGCCCAGGGCCCAACTTGGGGCTCCATCTCACAACCCTGAGATCACGACCTGAGCTGAAGCCAAGAGTCAGATGCTTAAACTGAGCCACCCAGGAGCCCCTTCACTGTTACTCTTATTATTACCTGAGACAGGGATGCCTGGGTGGCCCAGTGGCTGAGCATCTGCCTTCAGCTCAGGGCGTGATCCTGCAGTCCCAGGATGGAGTCCTGCATCAGGCTGGGCTCCCCACAGGGAGCCTGCTTCTCCCTCAGCCTGTGTCTCTGCCTCTCACTCTCTGTGTGCCTCTCATGAATAAATAAATAAAATCTTAAAAAAAAATTATTACCTGAGACACCCCTGGCCAAATAACAACAGCCCATGGGCTCTGGAGAGAGGCCACAGTCACAGACGTTTGCTAACTTATTGGTCAAAGGGGTGCTCTCGGGATCCCTGGGTGGCGCAGCGGTTTGGCGCCTGCCTTTGGCCCAGGGCGCGATCCTGGAGGCCTGGGATCGAATCCCACGTTGGGCTCCCGGTGCATGGAGCCTGCTTCTCCCTCTGCCTGTGTCTCTGCCTCTCTCTCTCTGTGTGTGACTATCATAAAAAAAAAAAGGGGGGTGCTCTCTTTTCATTTGCATCACAGGCCTGCAAGGTCTTGTTTATGCCCATTTTACAGAAAGGAAAACAGGCTTGGTGAGGCTCCCCTGCACAATATGTCACAGCTTCTGCAGGGTTTCCAGTGACCACACGCTGGGGCCCCTGGGTGGCTTAGTAGGTTAAGTGTCTGCTTTCAGCTCGGGTCGTGATCCCCAGGTCCTGGGATTGAGCTCCACTTCAGGCTCCCTGCTCAGCGGAGAGTGTGCTTCTCCCTCTGCCTCTACCTATGGCTTTCCCTGCTTGTGCCTGCTCTCTCTCTGTGTCAAGTAAGTAAGTAATAGTAAGTAATAAATAAATAAATAAATAAATAAATAAATAAATAAATAAATAAAATCTTTAAAAAGCAAACAAAGCAAAAACATCAGCAGAGTATTCTGTCACAGTTCTGGAGGCCACAAGTCTGAAATGAACCTGTGGGCAGCGCTGCCCCTTCTGGAGGCTCGGAGAGAGGATCTATTCCAGGCTTGGCTTCTAGCTCTGGTTGCTCTTGGCAGTTCTTCACATTCCTTGGCTTGTACACACATCACTCTGATCTCTGCTTGGGTCTGCATGTGGCCAGCCTCTAGGTCTCTGCATCTTCTCCTTTTCTGTCTCTCTCTCTCTCTCTCTCTCTCTTAAGATTTTTTTTATTTATTCATGAGAGACAGAGAGAGAGAGACAGAGACACAGGCAGAAGGAGAAGCAGGCTCCATGCAGGGAGCTCGATGTGGGACTCGATCCGGGGACTTCAGGATCACGCCCTGGGCCGAAGGCAGGTGCTAAACCACTGAGCCACCCAGGATCCCTCCTTTTCTGTCTCCTAAAAAGACACCTGTCATTGGGTTTAGGGCCTACCCTGCCTGACCCAGGATGATCACATCTCAAGATCCTTAATATAAGTACATCTGCAAAGACCCTTAAAGACTTATTATTTTTCCTTATGAGAGAGAGAGAGAGATTGAGCAGAGGGAAGTGGGAGAAGCAGGCTCCCTGCTGAGCTGGGAGCTCAACCAATGTGGGACTTGACCCCAGGACCCTGAGATCATGACCTGAGTTGAAGCCAGACACTTAACCGACTGAGCCACCCAGGCGCCCATATCTGCAAATATCCTTGTTCCAGGGAAGGCCACATTCTCAGGTTCTGGGCAAAGGTATCTTGGGAGTCACAATTCAACCCACCATAGTGGTAGCAGGGTCAGGATCTGAACCCAGTCCTACGGTCTTTCGAACCTTCACATGTCCCAGCACCCCCTTGGGTCCTTCATACAAAAAGAGGCTGCTCAGGACGCAATGGAGCCAATTTGAAGAAATGTTGCTCTAGCCCCACCAAACAATATTTTTGATTCCTTGAGGCCAACATGCTCTCCCTCGTGTCTGGGCCGTGGCATAGGCTATTCGTCCCACTTGGAACACCTTTTTCCATGCTCAGTGCAGATGTCACTTCCTCTAGGAAACCCTCCTTGACCCCAGGCTAGGTCAGGTGCCACCCTGGGCTTTCCCCAACCCCCTGGATATTCACATTCCAGTTCTCACTGTCCAGGGTCAGGTCTGTGTCCCTCATTTGACTCTGGGACCTGTAGGGGCAGGGCTGGGGTTGTCTCTGTCACCACTGAGTCCCCAGCACTGTCTTGCATGAGGCCACATAGTTCTCAATACATGCAGAATGACTAAAACAACCTGGTTCTCCCAAAGCTTCAGTGTCCCCAACCCATTAGACCAGCAGGACCCAACCCCATCGTATCCCAAAAGTCCTTTATGGCATAAACTCTTCAC